CTGGCAACCGATACTTACCACTGCTCAAACTGGTGGAGAAATGAAGTGGACAGAGTAAGGGTAGGGAATTGGGTACAGGAACAGACACCAGACTTTTTAAGAAATTATTTTTAATTATGTGTAGGTGTGTGTTTGCAGTGAAGGTATGTGCATGTGAGTCCAAGTGTGTTCAGAGGCTGAGGTGCCAGAGCTCTTATAACTTACGGAGTTATAGATGTTTGCAGATGTTCTAGACGGATGCTGGAAACTGAACTGGGTCCTCTTAGCAAGTGCTCTTAACTGCTAAGCCATCTCTGCAGCCACCAAGACAGACACCAGACCCTTGCAGCTCAGGGACAGCTATGAGACTCAAGCGAGCCTAATGTACAGAATCCTTGGAACCAGAATGTTTCTGATTTGCAAAGCCAGAGATGTCAGGATACAGGCTACCAAGAACCTTGACGGCCGTTGGAGTAGTCTCATAACAAACGTCCTGAGTACCAGCACAGTTTTCTCCCTTACTTACTCTGTGTGTCTATGTTGGGACCAAGAGATGGCTCACTGACATCATCCAGCAATTTGAGGCAGGCAGATGGAGCAGCAGCCATCTGAAGTGCCTTCATTTCACAGAGGAAGAGAGACAGGCATATGGCTGCACAGCGCTTGTCATCTCCATTCTAATATCCATGACCCAGTAGGCCACGTGGCCAGCTTGACTTCTTTGAGAAGGGGAACGTGCGTACTTGCATAAGAGATGTTTAGGAGAGGGCACTAATGTTGACCTTGCAGGTCAAGTGGGTCGTTTTAGACAGTCTTTTGTAGCCAAGGATGACCATGAACATCTTATCCTCCTGCCTCTATCTCTTGAGTAGTAGGATTATAGACATATACCACCACACCTGGCTTATGTGGTGGTACTGGAGATCAAACCCAAAGCCTCCTACATACCAGGCAGACACTGTCTTCAGCCTCTGAGCTGGTTCTGTAACTTACCCTGAGCAGAGTTTGGCACCATAGTGGGTCTGAATAAAAGATCCAAGACCTCGTGTTTCACTTTGGGGAACATGTCATGGAGGTTGAACCTGGGGTCTCACAGACACTGAACAAATGGTCTGCCACCGGGCCACACCTGTAGTCCTGCTTTACTGTCCAATGTCATTGACTGGCCTGCAGGGAGAACACGGCTCATAGTGAACAGCAGATGAGTTTTTGCATATAGCAAACACTCGTGTGTAACTGATTTTTCCAGGTGAGAATACAGCATCATCAGTTCCAAAGGCTGCCAAGTTTCTCAGGTGTTTCCATCAGAGGGTCATGTGTCTGCCTTCACATTTCATTCACGTGCAGGCCCCTGTCTTGACTGCTTGCCTTGGTGTCTTCTCCACATTGGGGCTAGCAGTGGTTGGTTTTCTCATTGTGATTTTAGCTTTCATTGCATGCTAACATTGGGGTTCCTTGTTTCTCTCTCCAGCTTTAGTGCTGGAGATGGAACCCAGGGCCTTGGACATAGGAAGTGCACTACCATGGAGCACATACAAACACTTGGTTTTCTGAGGTGGCGCCTTGACCTTGAAACCCTTCTCCCTCAGTTCCCTGAGTGCTGTGATTGCAAGTGTGCATTACACCTGGCTGAACATTTTAAATGATCCCCACAGGCCCGTGTGTCCTCATGTGGCACTTTTGGGGAGGCAGAGAATAATAAAACATCTTTAGGTCACTAGGAACAACCCATGATCAAAGGGCCCATGAGACCATGCCTCTCTCCCTTTCCTTTTCCCTACTTGAGGCAATAGTTTGCTCCCCATGCTTTGGCCATGATACTGATCTCACAAGAGGCACCAAAGTGACAGGCCACCAATAGAGTGCGTGAAAAATAGTCTTTTTTCTTCCCAGGGGAATACACCTTAAGACCCTAGTGATGCCTGAAACCCCCCTTTATTTTTTCTTTTGTTTTTGTTTTTTGGAGACAGTGTCTCAGTATGTAGCTCTTGTTGTTCTGGAACTTTCTGTCTAGACCAGGCTGGCCTCAAATTCACAGAGACATGCCTGCCTTTGCTTCCTGAGTACTGGGACTAAAAGCATGAGTCACCACACTCCGAGCTGTTTTGCCTGCATGTATGGCACGTGCTTTGTGCCTGTGGAGGTCAGAAGAGGGTGTCAGATCCCCGGAGCTAGAATTCTGAATAGTTTTGAGCCACCTTGTGTGTGATGGGAATTGAACGTAGGTCCTCTGCAAGAGTAACAAGTGCTTTTAACAGCTGGGCCATCTCTCTAGCTCCAGTTAGATTGTTGTTGTTTATTATTTGTGTAGCTCTGGCTGGCCTACAACTTAGTATGTAGACCAAGCTGGACTCAGATTCACAGAGAGCCATCTACCTCCGACTCCCAAGTGCTGGGATTAAAGCTATGTGCTCCCATGCCTGGACACATATACTATTCTTCAACGCTGACACGTAACGTACTTAAAGTTTAGTGAGTAAAGTAACCACAGTTAAGAGATGAACAGTAACTAAGAAGTTAGGATGATCTGCAATAAAGTTAATAAATGTACAAGTTGTTTAACGTCTAGAATTTCCCACTTAGTATTTTCTGAGTGGGCCTAACAACAGGTAACTAAAATCATCTAAAATAGAGCCGTGGATAAGAGGGCAGCTGTCCAGTGCTTTCCCCTCCCACTTCTGATGTACACTTTGGCAGTTCACGGTGCAAGCATCTTCTGAATACAGAAGTCTACTGTGCTAACTTGCCATGAGTGTTGTGGAGTGTGTTGTGTGGTTTTTGTGTGTCATTCCCATCGGATGCCAGGACACTGCACTCACCTGGACAGAGGATGGTTTCTTCAGCCTCAGTCCAGAAATGCTCCTGTGTAGTATCACTTTCATAGGACTTAGGGGCCTATACTATACACAGAAAATAAGATTTTTGAAGGTCCCCTTAAAAAGTCCATAAAGTAAGTTCTGTTCAGATCGTGTGGAACATTGATCCCCAAATGGCAACATGTAGGCCTTACTATATGAGTCACATGGTGGCACTCCAGCACATTCTAGACCCAGGTAAAAATAGTTATGCAGTGCCTGACTGTGCAGAACTCATTCACTGTAAGGATCCCACACACACATCCAGAGACCCATCGGACATGTGGGAGATGTACTGGTCCAGTAATTGTATATAGTACCTCTGGACCAGGGTGGGCCCTGGTTCACACTCTGTTCCCAGGCTCTTGAGACAAGGACCTAGGTATTTTTACTTATGGGTGGTGAAACTTGCCCTTAAAAGAGGAGTCAAGAGAGCTCATTTGCTCAGAAATAAGGCTTGAAGGTTTTAGGTCCTAGCTGTCAGAGAACAAGACTGCTTAGGAGCTGCCCTGGACCACCCAGAATGAGCTAAAGAAAGACAGGCATGGCAGCTGCCAACTGTGAACTTGGCCTTTGCCACTGGGAAGATCTGGCATGCAGGCCTGACTTCAGTAGTTCAGCCAGCCTCTGCCCAGCAGAGCCAGATGCCAGGGAATGGACATGCACAGGAAGCTGCTGCTCATGGCTGGCCTGCTCTTCCCAGAGACCCTTCCATCTTGACTAACATTCTTAATGATTGGTTAGTCTTTTTCTCTTGTTTGGCTTTTTTTTT